AAACACGATCCGCTTCTAACAATGGTCGCGGCCAGACTAACCGATGCACGTGAATGAAACTTTGTGTGACGGTAGAGGGAAGTCCAAGGGTCAATGCCCTACCCTCCTCTTCGTCAATGACGTGGCCGGAAATGAGTCATAAAAGTAATCCGGGTTCTTTATTGCCACACCTTGTATATTACAAACAGATCAGCAAGATGTTAGATTTCTGGGTAGTATGAAGCCTCATAAGCCAACGGATGATCACAGAAGAGGGAGACGTTATGCAATTGCCAGTATATGAAATATACTGTCACATATTGGTGACTAGATGCAGGGTTTGGATTAGTAACTGCATTTATTAAACACTTATAACAGGTAACCATAACACTATCACTAATCTACATATGCTGCAAATCACTACTCCAAACATTAAGGTTTCTATATCTTCACCAGGCATTGCTAAGTTATGGGTGCTACCCATGAAGGTCCTTCATGGCCAATCCATGAAATGCCACTCTTCATTTACAGCTCATGAACTGCATTCGCCAACTGCTGTCTCAAAACTTCCAACTCCTGGCCAGACATGGTTAGGAGTTGGAACTTTTGGCTCTATAAACTTCTGCTCTATGATTATTCAGATTGTGTGAACTCCAGTATCTGCTGTTCTGTGAATATAACTCCCAGCACAAATGAAACAAAGTTTTGTCAAAAAAAAAAAAAAAAGTATATCATATGTGGGTCTACTTCACCGTTAGGAAAGTACCGTGACATTAAAACTGAAGAGAGAGCGACTAGTAGGTTACAGCAGAGCAAACAACTCATCAGCATAACAATAATTAGACACACAGCATTTTTTGTTGGGTCCACCCTGAGGCTATATAACTTGAGGCAGTTGAGAAAAGGCCAAGAATATACATGAGAGACAAACCCATCTTCTCGCTAAAGCCAATGTTACATAATGACTATGACTACAAGAGGTGAGTTGGGGGGGGGGGGNCTCTGGTCGTGATCCTCACGGGGCTTGATGCGAAGATGAACTGATTGGCAGTAAACTGATAGTTGTAAAGTAACTCTAACTTTGCAGATTAGATGTGAGACAGTCACCAGTCAGCGAAGACAGCAACTGCTGAACAGAAGCAGAGGAATCTATGGCACTGGGAGCCATTACCAGGTGACAATTGCTGAAGACACAGCAGACTGAGATGACTTTAGTACATGCTGTAGTCAACTGCAGTGTGTGTAAATTAGCAATAGCACTGTAATTAATTGTAGTTATGAGGTTCAATCAATCCAGTTACCAATCCAAATCATTGTCTAGTAACTAAATATATGACAATATTAAAGGCTCCAATTATGAAAATTCACTGTTAGTGGAATCACATGGTTGCAATTCACGCACTACTGATGTATTAAAAGGGATTCCATTTCAGGAGTACTGTGAAAGTCTTTCACTAATTTTGACACCCTAAACTTCTGTGCGAAGTATCTAGCAGACGTATGAACAGAATGTTCAAGCTTATCCCTAAATTTATCCCATTTCTCTTTAGTGAGCACTTGATGTTTCAGTTAGGTCTTTTGCTAGCAAATGGGTCTCTCAACATAGAATTAATGTGACTGGGTGAATTATCATGCAGGTAAAAAAAAAACAATAGCAGCTACAGTAACATGCTGCTTGTGAGCTACCAGTGGGACAGCCCATGATATACGAGGGGGGACCCAAAAATAACCGGAAACGACCTGTTGCGTGTATGCTTTGTAGTTACGAGTTGTGCTACTAGGTGATGTTAGCTGGGGGTCTCCCGCGACTGTTAGCGAGCTGGCGTCAGTCTGAGTTAAGTGGTTTGTCTGTGGTGCTCCGTTGTGTGCGTTCCTGTTTCAACCCTTTGGGGATTAGTGAGATGGCCGACCAGAAGGAACAAAGAGTGTGCGTGAAATTGATGAAGATCTTCGAAAGACCATTGACCAACTTTCTGAGGAAACAAACATCTCATGGAGCACGGTCCAGCGAATTTTAACCGAAGGTTTGCACATGAGACGGGTGTCTGCAAAATTTGTTCCTCGCTTGCTCGGAGATGACCAAAGAGAAAACCGCGTGAATATTTGCCGCGACTTGAAGAGTGAAGTGCAGTTTTCCCTAACAGAAAGCAAAATTTCACGCACACTCTTTGTTCCTTCTGGTCGGCCATCTCACTAATCGCCAAAGGGTTGAAACAGGAACGCACACAACAGAGCACCACAGACAAACCACTTAACTCAGACCGACGCCAGCTCACTAACAGTCGCGGCAGACCCCCAGCTAACACCACCTAGCAGCACAACTCGTAACTACAAAGCATGCGCATGCAACAGGTCGTTTCCGGTTATTTTTGGGTCCCCCTTTGTATAAGCTCACTTCAGTCGTGCTTTCTAAAAATCTTACAATATGAAAGACAAACATGACCAAATCGAGATGTTATGGATAACGTGCAGTATAGGACACAAGAGTTTAAATATATCAACATTAAGACAAATTACATTCCGATATACACCATTTATAAAATCCCAGTCACATATTTCAAAGTACAGGTATAACTTATTACAGAAATACCCACCACAAGTACTAGCCCATGACCAATTCATGATTATATCTCCAAGGTAATTCGGATGTCGAACCCAGCCCCACCATCCAGAAACAAGAATCTTTTTTCCACGATATGTTGGTATTGTTTCCAAATCTGTAACAATAAGACACTGTATCAGTCTAATGGCATATCATTTGATTCTGTACACCTAGAATGCCTACATAAAATTAACCCAGAGACCTAAAATAATTACCTCAAAATTATCACAATTTTAGGCTGTCATACATACCTGTTGTCCTCTGAAACATCAATCTTTCATATTAATATAGCTAAACGGCTAATGTATACTGCTGAGATTACTTACGAGCCAAAGCAGGATTCAGTGGATTTTTTCTGAATTCACTCTTTTGTGAATTGCTACCTCGGTAAATCACATAGCCGATGGTATTGACAACAGCAATAACTGCCAAGCAGTACAACGGCACTTCCACCCTACAAAAAAAAAGGGGGGGGTTTACAACAGCTGATGGGCATTAATTTAGGGACATTAACAGCAACAACTTTAAACATAAAACATTTATACCACTGAACTGTATTTCACATTGTTTCAAGGTCATTCTATGTACATTCATCACATGACACGAGCTAGCAGCCAAGAGATATCCATAATACTCCACATTTTAGACTAGATAAATCAACCACACTACACCTATATTGTAATTTCTATAACTTCATTATACATATATACATAAATACACAATTCTGAAGCAGTGAGAATAGAAATGAACTCATACAAGAACTTCACATGTCTGAGAATGAAACTAAGACAGTGAAAGGTTAAGGTAAGGGTGAACGAAATAATTCCTCTACATAAATAAAACAAAGTAATTACAAACCTGTAGACAAGCAAAAATCTTGTGATTGTGGTTGGTATGAATGGATATATGTCATATGCCAGTGTCAGCATGTATCCTGTACCCTCGTACATAACATCAAAGCTAGTTGGAAATCCATCCTCAAACCACAGAAAATCTAGAGCATACCAGATTTGAAATCCAGCAGCTAACAGCAGAGTAGATGAATATCCATTGCTCTGCTCTATGCTTTTAAGTACCAATGCAGCATTCACCACAATCTGCCATAACAAATGTACACTTTTCCTTACTGTAGATCATAATTAAACAGTCTGTAATTATTACACTCTTCCCATTCACACACAAACATACTTCATGTGTTTAAAATTAATTTTAAAAATGAGAAATTTCCTTTGAATTATCTACATGTTTGGATCAAAATTCCAGATGCCTGGATAACCAGGAGTTTACTGTGATGGAATTCTATATTTCTATCTACAAATCCTTTTTTTTTTCATGCCAAGTCACAATAAGCAGTGATGTCTCATCAGCATATGAGATTAGGTAGAGACCTTGAAATAGTGAAATGAATTTGGAGGAGTCACACTCAATTACTAAAAGGCAGACACTTCCAAAGTATTTTTGGTCTATAACCTCACAGTTTTGAGTTGCAATGTTATAAATTCCTACCATCTCAACATGTCCAGCTGAGAAATGTAGCATTAATGAACATGTTCTGCAAAGGTATATCAGTCAACACACAAACAACATAAGTCTTCAACTTGTAGTTATGTGAATGCATGGGGGCATCAAATTACTGTTGTACACATGTTAATACATTGCAAAGCACATACTGCAATATCAGGAAACTGAACACATAAGTAGTATGGAATGAATAAAATCTTAAATTACTGCAGAAATGAATTATCATAACAACTCACCATTCCGATTATACCAGTCCTTATCAGACAAATTTTCACATCAAACGGCCCAATCCGAGGATTCACCTCTCTGCCCATCCAGAAGTCATATAAAACACTTCCTGTCATTGCAAATGGATTCTGAGCCACTAAATGGGCTCGTCCACCTCGGATATATAACAGTACAGCAAAGAGATATGCACATACCAACGCAGTGACCAAGAACTGAACATACTTGTCTGCAATAATTGTTACAGGAAATTCAAAATATCTCAGAACTCCAAGTATTGTCACTGTGATAATGGCACTCAGTAATCCTGAAAGCAAATTAAAAATTACAACAAATTTCGATGTCAATATATATACAAAACCATTGCCCAGACTCACTGATAACCGTCACAAGATTATGCACTCTTTCAACAAATGGCATACCAGTAACATTACAGAGGTCCTAAACCAAGTACTGTCACGCATATAAACATATTTTCACACATTCAGACCTAAACCTAGACATATAAGCTTGGAAAATCCCTGTAACCAGCCCAGTCATTCTGAACTTCTTGGATACACAGATTCTAAATGACACTTCTGGCAGTCCAACATCATCTGTTTCTATGGTGGCTGCGTGGGGGTGGGCCAGTCAGAAGCAACTCCCTGGTATCGTGAATGACTCAATGTATTTCATAGTGTCTCAGCAATCATTTTAACCCCACCCCTCCCTAAATTCCCACCACAATAAAAATATAATTCTCCTTTTTTCCTAGAAGCATACTTCTACAACTGAGTAAACTTAAATATCATATTCATAATTAATTAAAGTTCTTAAGAACTTAAAGACCATAATTTTTTCTGGTGTTTTATTACTATAATTATCCTAACTGAATTCATGCACAATGTATGATGCTTGCTTCTTCTGTGGCCAGTACACCCATCACAAAAAAAAATCTGTTAAATCAGCTTGTCAGTCATTTTCAGCCTTTCACAGCCGAATGTTATAATTATTGGCAGCAAGTAGCAAGCTGAATGGCCGAATGTTATAATTTTTAGAGGCAAGCCACGTGCTTCCTTTGTGAGTGCTGGCAGTTTGACCTTGGGTTTGAAACCCAAACAAACTCATGAATATTCATGTCAGACTTTTTATTTGTTAGCTCTAAACAATGACATCGTTTATCAGGGTACTGATTTCCAAACTATTTATGTTTAGATATGACTGTTTATGACCTGGTGAGCCAACAGAGGTCGGCTTTGTTTTGAGAACTTAGAGGAGGAAATATCTGTGGGCGCTTCATATCAGTGCTACCAGAGCTTTCAAGGAAGTGTGATGCATTCATGGATTGGTTTGCAGTGTTGAATTGTCAGTTAGGACGTCAGTGGCGGATTTTCTAATATTTCATTATTATCGTCCATGATATGTATGCCGTTTCCGTCTAGTAGTGCATTCAATTTTACCTGTTATTTCACAACATGTTGTGAAATAACAGGTGAAATTGAGTGCACTACAAGACGGACGCGGCATACATATCATGGACGAAAATCAGTGCAACAGGACGCTAAAATACAACATTATTTCGTTATTAGTTAGGAAGTCACTGTCAGACTCCTATATTTCTTTGTATATCATTTTTATTGTGTATCTTGGAAGAGGTATAAACCCACTGAGCCAGTGCTACTTTGTGCGTAAAGACATCTTCATCACTGTGACTTTCGGTATCAGTGGCAGACTGGCACTTTTCGACTACTATTCCAGTTACTTTGAATCACAATTTTGCGTAAAGACGTAAAGATGCATATCTGTTACACAAGTCATGTGATGGAAAAATGACGCACAAAAAATTCCGTGAAATTTTGGTGCGTGATTTGATTCTGGAATCACATGAGGCAAATATCACAGTCAGTGGCGTTTCTCGGGGGTGGCCAAGTTCATCTGGGGCCCAAATGAGTCAACTAGAGGTGAAACATTCAAAACACTGCCAGCTAAAGGAAAACAAAGATGTCGTGTTTGTTCTATAAACAAGAAAAGCAGGAGCACGCTTTTCTACTGTAAAAAGTGTGATGTTGCGCTGTGTGTGGTGGACTGCTTCGAGAACTGGCACATGCGGGTCAGAGTGTAAACTGTGAAGTGACGCAGTCCAAACCGTGTACAGTCCGAACCAAATATTACTGTATGTAGTGTCATCATATTTACATCACCACCATGATTCAAGCTTGAAGGAAAACAATGGGTAAGTCCTTTAGAATTTCATAACGTATATAATGACTATATTTTGCATTTAATGACAAAATAATCACAGTTAATTTTCATTTTTAAAACTTACCCTTTAGTGTATATGTAGAAAATTTTATTGTCTTTCAGGTTCTTTTTAGTTCATATTCTGATGTTGCATAGAATGGAAAATATGCATTTTTTTTTCTGAGAGTTTGCAATGTTAAAGACTTAGGGCCATTTAAATTCCGGCTGTAGGGAGCTGCTGGCAATTTAAAAGTCCGTACATTAAAGGTTAAGAATAGAGTTCTGCTGGCAGAAATACAATTATAGTGTAGCATTAACCTTTATCCTACTGCCCTTTAAATTCAGGTTTTCGCAGCCATACGGAATTCTTTAAAGGGCCGCTATTTGAGATCCGTTAAAGCTGTAGTCACTTAACTAAATTCGCTCCTATTTCTGCAATTTCTGTGATAAGCGAACGAAATAAACGCTGTTTTTTTCTCTAAAGAATATAGAATCAGATATTGTAATTTACAGATTGTATAAAACATGTTAAAATTTTTGCACTGACACCAAAGTAGAATTTTCGCAGTTTCTTGTTTCTGTGCAAGAATTCATACGTTCTGGAAACCCCTGAATGGATTTTGCTGATGACGAGACTTGTGCAAGTCACGGTAACACCGGATGTTGAGTCTAGAGCTTATCTTTGGCTACTACGAGAATGTGGACAGTGATATAAAGTCACGTGTTGTTGCATATAGAGTTCTTCTAATAAACAATACGTGTACTGTTCTTGTAGAGATGAAGGCTAGCATTTGTTTTATGAAATCGTGTTACTGTATGAACACACACCGTAATAGCTTCGTTCCTGGAAGCATTCAGTCGAGCGTAATTTCAAAGTGTGATCGTACCATGACGTAATTCTTGTGGAATGAAAAGTGGGCGAATGGCTCGGCTGCACAATAAGATTACATTTCTTTATACAGTTTCATTACACTGAGTGCTTGGTTCGTAACTGGAAGTGTTCTGTCTAGCTATTCGTCGGCAACCTGGGGACCACCACACCAGCGTGGCACGAGGAGTGTGAATAATTATTCAGGTGGAGCTGTGGGCAAACTGTGCCAAACAGTTATAGCATCTGTTGTCGAACCTGGAAATGGACAAATAAGCTATTTTTCCATCTCCTTGGTCTGAACAGTTACATCCTGTTGTCACACTGAGAATTTCGTCTCGCTCTTTTGCGGAACATGCTGTTAGGGGTCCACCTCGCCATCAACGGCCAGGGGTCGAACCCCTGCCGTTTTATGGGAGATATCTCGACTATAGAAGGCCAAACCACATCACTGGCCGACTTGCTATACTTCGCAATTGAGGTGTCGTGTGTGCTTTTCGCGTGGGAATCGAAAGACCGCCCGGACAAAGTGCGTGAATTGCGAAATCGGACTCTGCATTTCCGGATTTTTTTGAGAATTCCACACGAAGGCAACATTCCGGCAGATGACGCACGTGGGAAGACAGACCCTCCATGCAGATGGTGGCCAAAAATTATGTAAGTAGGACATAATTTTCTACTTTAAAATTTAATTTTATATAACGTTGCCACGCGCGGACTCTGCGACACCATACAGCGTCATTCGTACCGGGGACTTTCTTTTAATGACGACATACGTTGTCTTTAGTCGTTTAAAGGTTAACACAAAAAAAAACTTGCACTTATAATGCTGGAGTTTTTTGTATGAAATGTTGTGACTTGAGGTTACTCCATTCAAGACCTCATGTCCCAGCCAGCTGACATGTGAGATCTCACAAGTGAGATGTGTCACACCACTTGAAGAATTCTGCTCTACAACTAGTACTGACAGAGGGAGCGGCCTCCGTAGTCTAGAGGTAACGTTCCCACCTCATGACTTGTAGTACGCGGGTTAAAATACCCGGCGGAGGTCGTCGAATTTTTAAGGGCGGAAAAATTCAGGGAGCAAGTCCTCCGGGAGGGTCTTTAAGCCGTGGGTCCCGTGTCGTAGCTTTACGGCACATAAAAGAACCTCATACCTCCAAAGGAGGTCACTGAGCAAAATTGCGGACGTTTGCTGCCCAACAGCAGTCACTAATACCTCCGGTAGATGGGGGGAAGCATTATAGATACTTCTCAGCCAGTAGAGCCGGTCTCGCTGGCTGGGCGGGACTGATGGTAAGCACCAATACCGGTAGGATATAGAGGCTGGTAGAAATCATAGAGGGAAGCACAATGGACCACTACAGGTCTAAGTGCATGGGGAAACCCACCCTCTCTAATAACTAACTAACTAACTGACAGAGGGACTGGTAAAAGGCATCAAAATGTAATGTCATGGTTCCCAAATCCAATGTGTTACTATTGTATGTATACTTATGATACAAACAGGCAAACATTCTCAGAAATATGTTTAAATAACTAAATGATGTTTCTGTCGTGTTTAGAATGCAGAAATGGCTCTTAAAAAATTACCATTGCATCGATACTGAAGCCTGCCTAATTTATTTGGCAACCCATCAACAAGTTTTCCCACTGGTATAATGGACAGCATGAACTGTAGTGCTATAAATCCAAGACACAATGCAGCTACTTCCAAGTCAAAATATGCTTTCCAGTCAAGTGGGATTGTGAAATTTTTCACTCCATACTGTGCCTGCAAAAAAAGTCACCAAATTATTACTTCATCTCTCACGTGTGTCCATTATTTCACTTTCACTCCATATTACACAACCCAAATATAAGTCCAACCTAACCATATTTTAAAAATTAATCTTCATAACTGTGAGAATCTCACAAATATGTCATATCAATAATTCTAAACAGTGAAGCGTGCATCTTACATGGTTAGCAGTGCTCTCTCTTTCTGGCTACAAGAGTAATGAATAAATCACATAACTGCAAATTTGCAACACATTAATTTTCCTGCCTATCTACTACATGTGACATATTTAAGAACGGGCCACTTTCTTTGAAAAATACAACTAACTATTTTGGTTGCAAAAACAAATTCCCCCTTGGTGTCTCTCATCATTGCTCACCTTAGAAGAATACAGATGAGCTGCCAGAAGTGACAGTGGTGAAATAATTTGCAACAGCAAAACTCCAAATATGCCACCAAACTCCTTAACTTCTTGACATTCTGATTTTGATGAGGGCTTCTCAGGACATTCCACTTCTGTCTCACTAGATACTTTCAATTGCTCAATTCCCTTTTTTTCTTCTAATCTGTTCTCCAACTGTCAGAAACAAACCAGCATACTATAAAATAGCAAAGAGCTGAGAGTTGTAATAAGCAAATTCTCACATCAGCGCCAACCCTAAAGCAAAAAATGAACAAATACTGGTACCATTTTTAGCCTGAACCAATCTTCATGAAACTTTGTATATCATGGCAACTGAGCCCATCTGAAGAGCATACTTAAAAATTCCCTTCCAAAAGTCTGTGTCTGTTGCACGGCAATGGCTCAGTAAGCACATTCCCAACACAACGAATATATGCAACAGTAGGGGAATTGTTGGACGTGTCATTTTCTATGCAGTCCATGCTTTAGAGTCTCTGAATCCCCTTATGATTGCTAGATAACAACTCAGTAAAGATGTTCCTGCAGCAATGAAGAATTGCTGGAGGTGTAGCTTTCTGTGTTACAAGTCCTATCAAAGGAAAACAGACAGTCAGTTCTTCCCAAATCTTCTTGTGTAAGTTTATATTATGAACCTGCTTCTTTTCCCACCATTGTGTCTAGCTACAGAATGAATAGCAGGGTTCTGAGGCAGAAGCAACAGAAACCGTGCTCTTCATCACCATGCCCAGAAATATTCCAAGGACCATCCAGCTGACACCTGCGAATGCCTGCAGCTCTACCCCATGCACCTTGTAACTGTGTGATACACAAGACAACATGGCTCTGTTACAAAGTATTATGTAAAAGACTTACTTCATGTTATAGTTCACTTTTAATAGCAGCATCTAGTTCCCACTTATTTGGTGGTGATACAACAAAGCTTAGCCCCCTTTTGTTTAACCAAGAATGGAACTCTGCTGCCTACCTCCTCATGAGTGATGATTCTTCTAGATCTCCTTAAAAGAACAACACACGATGTAGAGGGCTCTCTTGATTGTCTTGTACTGCTTGAAAGATCAATGCCATCTCCAGTGTTGTGATTGTAAACACTCACTACAAGAAAGCATAAAAACTAAATGATTCTGATGTTTCAGAAGAACAATAAGAAGGAGAACACATATCACCAGCAAAGGAGCTTAGCAACTGTCTGCATGCTTGCTGTCTTATAATTTCCAATTTATTTGTGGCCAGAATCCTGAAGACCATCAAATTCTGTTTCTATTCTCATCCCCAGCTACTACTCTCCTATCGCCCAATTACACTCAGGATAACTGTTCATAACTGCTGTACTACACTTGTCTGAAGAGAAGTTTACAGGAGGATGAAATAATGGTTGACTACGATGCAAAGAATGGATTAAGGAGCAGAATGATTTAGTTCATGGTACTGATGCACTCTGCACTCAACAAATTTATGAAATCCAACAGGCATTAAGGTATGTTTCTTGGAGTACTTAACAACGAAATGTCTGCCTCACAGATTATATAGTAACAAATATCAAGATCAGTGGGAAGAAAGTTTTGTAACCTATTTTGAAGAATAATCACAGAATTTCCATCAAGGGATCAAAGAAAACTATAAACTCTCATGCACAGAAGTCAATGGATTACAATTTCTTTAAAATTATGCCAGGAATCTCAAAACTCATTGCAATGAGTCTGCAACTTGAAAGACCTGATGCAAAGTTGGGAGAACTTAACCTACATCTCACCCTTAATGAACTGATCCAGTATATAATTAGTGTGTGTAATTTTTCTAACATTACATGCCAATAAATTCTTATACAGGGTGGGGCACAGAAACTTCCTTTTTGTGAAGGCGCATTGTGAAGGGAGGGGAGGTTGCAGAAAAGTGGGGATAAGCTCGGCGACCACAGCAGTTGTGGAAGTTTCTGTCTAATACCCCTCAGTAGGAAACATGAGGTGGATGAGTGAGCAGCGTGCGTTTGCTGTCGAAGCCTATTTTACAACCATTCCTACGTGGCGGTGCAGTGTGCATTCCATACTCACTTCGGAATTAAGCCCAGAGGTCCGGTTCCCGACCAGAAATAGATTGTTTTGTGGGTAGAGAACTTTAGGACAACTGGGAGTGTGGTGAAAAAATCAGGACAACAACGGACTGTTACGCCAGAAAATGTGGAGGCAGTTCGACAGTCGATTCTGAGATCTCCAAGACGCTCCGCTCGCAAAAACATGACTCACCCTAGACATATCCAATCGTTCAATGTGCCGAATTCTTCACGAACATCTTCAGTTCCATCCCTATAAGATGGTTGTTGTGCAAGAATTGTCACCACGTGATTTCCAGAACCGAATAATGGCGTGTGAAACATCATTGAAACTTTACCCCCTGACACTTGTTTTCGTTAGTGATGAGGCACATTTTCACCTATCCGGATATGTCAACAAGCAGAATATGCGCTATTGGAGTGGTAACAATCCCAGAGAGCTCCACGAGAGACCACTTCACAGTGAAAAGGTGACAGTATGGTGTACGTTGTTGAGAGTTGGAGTTATTGGCCCTTATTTTTTTTAACACTTTGCAGACTGGTGGCATATTTTTATGCCCAGCGCTTTTAAACGCGGCGGACCGGTGGCATATTTTTATGACTTTAGGACACGTTAGATTGTAACACACTATACCTTTCTCTGGCGCCACCCAAATAAAATGACTACTGCAGAATATTATTCAGGAATGTTTACTTAGTAGGCAGTAACTTGATCTCGCTGTTTTGGTACCCCCTCCAAAGGAAAATTATCTTTGACCCTTCAAGCTCTTATGTACCAGGCAAGAAGTTAGTTGCGCAATGAGTCAAGGACAGAAGCGGTTGAAAACCAAGCGATATCTGACGTGAGCTATTTGACATTCCTTCTGAGATGTGCAGCGATAGTGATTTGACAGTGGCAGTGGACAACAAACAATTGTGGCCACAGACAATAAAAGTGAAAGTAGCTCCGACGAAAGTGCAGGTAGAAGGGGAATGTTTCCAGAAATATCACACTTTCAAGCACTTCTAGAAGCACTGGTAAGTGTTCTCCAAAAATTTTAGTTCATAAAATTAATTAGGATATTTTATATTAATTTTTAAAGTGAACAGTGCACAAGTTAGGGTAGTGGGTTAAAAAATGCCAGTCCCCAGGGTGATTTAAATTGATGGTCTGCAAAGTGTTAAGAAGACAATCCATGCAGTTACTGTCAATTCACAGCGGTATGTGAACATGATTAAAAAATTTTCAAACCAGCTCTTGAAGAAATGCATCTAGGAAATGTCTGGTTCCAACAGGATAGTGCCACAGCCCACACAGCCCAAACTTCGATGACAGTTCTGAGGGCAAAGTTCCCTGGTCGGCTCATCTCGCTTCGAGGTGACATCCCGTGGGCAGCGCACTCACCTGATCTAACACCCTGTGATTTTTTTATGGGGATAACTCGAGGCAGGGGTTTTCAAACATCACCCCACAAACCTGCTTCAGCTGAAGAATGTTATTCAGCAGGAAGTAGCCCAAATTCTGGTGCACATGTTAGAACGTGCAGAGGGGAACTTCAGAAAACGGTTGTATCAGTGCATAGAGAACGGTGGCCACCGCCTTCTTGTTTAAAACTACATTTAAAACTTTAAAGTATGTTCTTTCCTTAGCTAAACATAAATTTTGTCTATCAGCAATAATTTTTCTTTTATCTGCCTTCAAAAAAAGGAAGTTTCTGTGCCCCACCATGTACTACATGCAAAATTTCATAATTGTAGTATACCGACTAAACACGTCTCCTCTACAATTATTGTGTCACCTCAACATGAAAATATGTGATAAGGGCCTAAGTGACAATGTTTCATGAAAACAGAACAGCAAAATCCATCAGCTTAGTTTCTAAGTTATAACTCCATTCACGAGAAACTAGAGGCACCCAGAAGCTAATACATAATGTGTGCCTCAATATGAAAGATTTCCCAAACAACTTGACTGTTCCAGTTATTTCCAGTTTCAGTCTAATAAAAAATCACCTGGTGATTGCTGAATTATTTCTTCCTCAGACGGAATTACAGTTTCTGGTACGATTCTTGCAGGAGACTTTTGCCTGCGAGCAGGTGACTTTCTCTGCCTTGATGATTTCCTTGATGGTGACTGTTTTCGAGAGGTCCGACTTGGAGATTTTTCAGTACGTGATGGTGACCTCCCAGACCGACGGGATGGAGACTTTTCAGATCGACGGGATGGAGACTTTTCAGACCGGGATGGAGATTTTTCAGACCGACGTGATGAAGATTTATCAGCACGACGAGCTGGAGACCTCTGTCTGGGAGAGACTGAATTCTGAGCTGCAGCAGCCGCTGCTGCTACTCGAGCTGGAGATTTTCGGAAGTTTCTCTCTGGCTGTTCAACAAAAAACTTCATATTAAGGAAATCAAGGACTATGTAACCCTGCAATTAATTTAAAAATACACAGAACTAAAACACCATCCATACCAAGATTTAATTTATACGAAAGCAGAAACCAGTTTTGATTTACATAACTATTCCATACATATCACATCCATCCTAGATTTAGACACAAAACATTTCTTTAGTTAATATTTGACCCACTGGACACAGAAAATTTGTCCTCTAGACTACAAAATTCAATCACTTTACAAGCGTTTGTAGAACACAAAAACAATTTAATGAGCTACACAAGTGAAGCAACTTCTGCAGGACTCAGAGCACAGTTCAAGAACCAGTGTTCTAGGCTGAAAAAAAGGCAAAGAGACCATGACACAATGTTACATTTAGTGTGCTCATGTACATTTGTTCAGTAGTTTATACTGGACAGACATGAGCAAAGATTACCAGTACAACTGACAAATATTTACACATACATAGTTGCAACAGTCACTGTTACACCTTTAATAACAATACGCACTTTACAATAACCATCTCAATATTGAGAAATACAGAAATCTGGCCCTTTAGGGATCAAAATCAGGATTGTAAAACAGTTACTAGTAACAATTTACCATTAATATAGTAAACAACCAATTATGCAATACAGTATTTAACACAGAGAACAAGCAGATATGACATTTCAGTGTCAAAGCTGTTGAACAAATCAAATTAATTAAGGAAGGACATAATGCACAATGAAACATGGATTTTATCATTTGCCATCATGCCCAGACTATGAGGACCACTGGACTTTCTATCCAACTGGGATTAGAGCTCTTTCCTGGAAGTAGTGACGAGGGCATGGAACTGTCAAGTGCTGAGGTTAACCATGAATGGAGCTCTATTCCCATATTTACTACTAAGCTGGTTTGTGTGGTAACAAAGCTCTACACTTGCAGTCAGCAGGTGCTTGGTTCTAATCTCTACAAATACTGTATACTTTAACTTGTACATACCATATTTCCTCCTTGAGAATCTACTTGAGCCTTTCTTCAAACTGTATGCGGACACCTAAATAAAAAACAGTTACTAGTGAATATACAATGGACCCTAAACAACTGGCCAACACAGTTTCTTCTCATATGCGTCACCAAATACTACCACTGAGAAGAAAACTCAATTTTCTACACTTGAAAAATGTGGGGAAGGTCTCCTACTTTGTATCCATGGGTCACAAGGAATCAATTTCCAAATCAGCGAAAGAATCATCCTAAACTTACTCGTAAATTCTAGTACCACAAATAAGTATTTACCTACATTGTTATAATTTCAAAATAACTACTTTTTGGATATTACCATAAATATAAAATCTGTATAGGCAAATCCTGAGCAACCTAAAGGCAACAGCTCAATGTTTTTCAGATTTTCATCCATGAATACAACTACTGGTAACGAAGATAGGAACCCTTCATACATACTGCCCACACATCTCACATTAGGCAGCAACCACTTCTTTCTACATCCCCTGCAATTTGTCATTCACTAATCATCCCATAATTTGACACTATATGGTCTGAGATACTGACAACATTGTTAAATAAACCATAAGGAAATACATAAATCGAAACTTATATGCAAAACAGGTTCAAACTGTGGCATAACTATGCAGTTTTCCGTTACAATGTTGCACTATGTCGGTCACTACTTAAGTGTAATTTATATTCTTACATCAAAATTCATGCTATATTGTTACATCTGAAAGAAATTGCTAATCTGTAAAAATATGGATTTGAGTATACAGCATAAACGATTTTCCATATGTGAATAGTCTCGGTTTCTGAACTGTCCCCGGCCTCAGCTACCAGTTTCTCACAACAACTGAGTCCCAGCGGTGATCTAACTGACTGACTGCTCCTAACTTGTCCTGCTTATAACATCTTTGCATGGACCACGTAGAAAACACCATTCCTCTCCTGCAATGTGATTGTTGCTTAGCAATGACATGACGTATTTCACTGTTCTGTTCACAGCCACTGGCATGGACTGCACAGAAAACACTATTCATCTGTTGTTGTTTATGAGCCGCTGCCTAGTAACGGCCAGCTGTTGCAACTCCACAATTCTTGCTTTGAGCGAATAAGCTGCAGTACTTTGGGATAAAGGGTAGTAGACTGCTTATGTTATAGATTCACCACTATGATACATATGCAGCAATGCTCATCCACCTCTTTCAGCATCTAAAGTCTTCAGCATCTAAAGTCATGCCCAGGAATGCCAACACCAAACAAGTTACAACAACACTTTTGATCCCATGTAACATTCGCTGTTGATTTATTTATCAATTATACCAATTGTTCAGATTATACGGTACTGAATGATAGGTTGATCAGTGAAGTGGTAAAAATATGAATGAAATGGCTGTGGCCTAAGATACTATCCTGACACCTGCCTAGAGGAACTGAGAAAAACTATGTAAAATCTTGATCAGTACAGCCAGTCTCTGGGCCAAGAACTGAACCTGGGAACTCATGACTACAAAGCAGGGATGCTAACCATTCAACTGTGATATCGAGTGATCCCAGATAACAAAGACTCCCTTCAGCTGCTGCAATGTTACGTTGCTGATGTTTCATTAGGTTATGTTTTATTCTTTAATGTGAAATTACTTTTCATAAGTATCCAAAACTTCTAAGTAACTGTTATGGCCAGTCACTGTTTATTGTACCTTTCTTCATGTAAAATACATTTAGCATTTATATTCTTTCCTTTAATCACCAAAAACATGCATGAATTATCTTCCAATAGCATTTTGTTAAGTTGTGGATAAAACTATGAAAATGAAGAAAACAACAATTCCAAAGATGATCCAACCTTCCTCCAGTCACCTGCCTAAGAGTAGTGCAACCTCTCAGACTTAAGCTTTTCACGGCAGATACAATAAGTAGTATAAGGTAAACTCTGATCAGAATATATGGCCTCACATCTTGGAAAATGGTACTCTAAACATAATCTACAAGGTGGTTCAAATATGACCGGGACTTTCTTTTTTAAATCAAAATTGCCAAACACTTACTTGCACATGTCAGTCTTCAACGTACTCCCCTCCGGAGTCAACACATTTTTTCCAGCATTCTGGAAGCATCCTGATGCCCTTTTCAAAAAAGTTATGTGGTTGGCGGCGTATCCACTCCCGAACATTCTGGATGACGGCATCGTTGTCCACAAACCACATGCCTTGCAAGTCTGATTTGAGCCTTCCAAACAGGTAGAAATCACTTGGTGCCAAATCGGGACTGTACGGCGGATGTGTCAGAAGGTTCCATTTCAATTTCCAGAGGGTTCCCATTGTTGTATTAGCCGTATGGGGGCATGCATTGTCTTGAAAGAAGGCTACCCGCTTTCCACCTCTCTTCCGCTTGGATCAGATCTTTTCCTTTACGTCTGTTGCCAGGAGGTCTGAGTAATAAGCTGCAATGACTGTTCTGGCATCTGTCAGGAAGTCTACATGGATAACCCCCTGTCAGTCCCAGAAGAACGTTGCCATCACTTTTCCTGCTGAACGGCTCCTCCGTGCTCTCTTGGGTTTGGGAGAACTGGTATGCCGCCACTTGTGTGATGATTGCTGGGACTCAGGAATGAAGTAGTGCACCCACGTTTCATCGGTGGTCACTATAGACTTAAAAAATGCATCACCTTCATCTTCAAACTGCTGTAGGAGACGACTGGCAACTTGCACGCGCACCATTTTGTTCACCTCCATTAAAGTGTGTGGTACCCACCATGCATTCACCTTTTGATAGTGCAGGTGGTATTTCATGATGTCTTCTACACTACCAACACTGATGGACAGCATTGCTCCAAGTTCCTTGATAGTGATGCGCCTATTCTCACAAATAAGTGCGTCTGCACAATCAATGTTTGGCTTGGTGACGGATGTTCGCTCAAACACACGGGTCTGTGAGAGACACTCTTCCTCATACTGTTGTTGGAGTCTGTGGTGAATTTCAGCAGACGGGACATTTTCTCCGAGGAATTTGATCACAATGCGTTGTTCCACGCTCCACGGTACCTTCTGTTCACTCATCACTCTAGCAACTTCCAGACAGGACTGAACAGGTTCTAACCCTAACAGGAGGGAGGGTGGAGGTTGTGGCTTCACTCTCTCAAGGTCGCACAGCTGCTGCGCAGTGCGGCTTGTTTACAAAAAAATCAGTCCCGGTCATATTTGAACCACCTAGTACATAATAATAATTTGAAGAAAGAGGAAGCTCCAAAAATGAACAATGTAATCCATGCTAAGCTACGGAACTGATGAATAAATGCACAGCAGCAGCACATGCAGCTTTACAGGCCACTTGTCATGAAGTTTCATGAAAATGTAAACAAAGAAAAATTTACACATTACAACATGATTGTGCTTTTGCAGGCCAGTGGCAAAACATATTTCATTTTTAACTCACCTGATAAAATTTAATTGGAGGCTAAATCATTTACTGCATATACACTTAAATCATACAAATTCCTGAGATTCGGCTTCCATTATGGTCAATGACACCCCTAGTAAAAACCGCATTGCCACCATTATCCTCACAACAGTGCAACCTACAGAAACTTAATAACGAAAATATGCACGTATACACATACATCTGTGTACGCCCAATTTATATTACCTAACAGTAAACAATTCATAAAGTGTTGCAACCGTACTACGAATCAACCATGCCAGTCTTCTAAAAAAACATGTCCTTGTGTTATAAAACTATACAATTATTTTTATATAAAATGACATATATTCAACAAATACCACTGAGATCATGTTTACTTTTAACTATATGTAATAATCACGTTTAAATCATACCTCTAAACAATATCACATAAACAGTAACGACTTCTCACAATATCCATAAGCGACGCCAATCTTCCCAATCGTCATGTGACATTGAATATGATTGGTTAATGACAATCAATCCCAATTTCCTATTGGTTGCTCGTATTCCAAACTTTTCTCCGGAAATAACTATAATTAAATATTCACATATATACGTTTCTCAATTCAGATTTATTAATGCAATTATTATGGTACTGTTTCTCTACGAGTAATTTTAAAAATGAAATCACGGTTGGTCAAATTTCTAGGAAATCATGTACCCAAATGTGCGAACAAAACTTTATCCACAATGTTGAATTTCAAACCAAGAACTTAGATTTTCTTAGAACATATTATTGTAAGGGTGATTAATCGTAATTTATTAATGTAATTTATGTGACATTAATACCAGTTTGAATTTCAATGTGATCGGTTTTGTAAGTATTCCACTTGATTCACATGCATCCACTACAAGCAGCATTCACGCAAGACAGCGGGCGTTTAACGCAAATGAACTTCCTTCCGGTCGCTCTAGGTCCTCTAGGTCACTGCATTTGCTCTAGGTGCTCTACTTGTCCATGTTTCCATCACAGATCACAGATTACTGATTTCCTGTGTTCGCAGACGTCACTAATCCGTGGTGGTGGACGACCAGACATCAGAAAAATATCAGAAATGGCATTTCAGTGCAATAGGTAATAACGTTGAAATTTCTATAGAACTCGATTTAGCAAACCGATTTTTTTTTATATAGAATGACACTCCTAAACCCAAATTTATATTATTAGGTTTTTTAAATGCTGATAAAACTTTTATAATTACAGGATTTTTCTACAAAAACAGTTGTCGGGGTATGTTGTCCGTGGTATTTTGCCTTCTAGGTAAGTTGCCGGAGTGGTGCGTAATAACCTTAGTGTGTCAGTCTGCGAAACTCGTAGAATATGCCCCGTGCTTTAATTTCACAAAACTGTAGCTGATTATGACGAAGGAGAATAGATTTTAAAAGTACTGCACCATCCTTAAATATATTTTGTATTAATATCGTTCATTACTTTTAATATTTTCTGCTGCAGTAAAGTTGATATATTTTGACTTGGAAAAGAGATGTACAGTAGAACTTGGTTATAACGTCATCAAAGGGACCTAAAAATAGTGTCGTAACCGAAATGGGCACTTCCACAGTAGTTATGTTAGTCACGTAAAACTACCAAAAACCGAGTTAAAATGTTGCATTTTTTAGTGAAATCCGTAGTTAAGTACAGACTAACATAACATTAACGTGGAATTGCCCAAATGTGTAATATCAAAGACATATTACAGCGCTTTTCACTGACAATACACACAATATTTCACGAATCACTTTAACTTTCTCTTCAATGCTTAAAACTTTCCTTTTCATTGCCATGTTTTCGCTACTGCACTTCTCTGGGTTTAGGCAGGAACACTATAGGGTAAGTAGACAATGTGAGGTCCTGTTAGACGAGATTCTAGGAAAGGAATGCAGTTAACAACCTGCCGCGTCCTCTAGCACTATTCACGCAGTCCCACCCCACACCCTTGTTTTCGCATAAAACCCACGGTCCTCTTGCAGATCGCGGTCGTATTCTTCCAGGACAGTCACGTCAACAAGTAGAGAAAGTGAGGGTGGGCAGACACATCGAACTTTC